GGTGAGGAAAAGATAGGAGAGGGAGAAAGAGGCGGAGGAAAAGGGAAGAGGGTAAAGAGGGAGGGTGGGCAGTAGGCCCTGTTAGCTGGACCTCAGAAGACCTTGGTGGAGAGAGAAGAAGAGTGAGAAATAATGAAGAGGAAGAGATGAGCAGGATGTGCTCTGTTGTACATTAGTCGCAAATACTATTATTGCTTTCCAATCCAAAACATACGCACCCTGCCACGGTGACAGGGAAGGGTTACTCATTATTTCCTCTATGATTAAAGAGGTCAATTATTTGAATAAAAGGAAGCTTGATTGGGAAGAATAATGTTAAATTCAACCCAAAAATGAACGTTCTTCGCTTGCTATGATTGAAAAACACTCACCCGAAGTTTCTCTGTTTAATAACCTGTTAAAGACTTTACAAAAAAATTGGATTAGCTTGTAAAACACAAGATGCAAAAGCATATTTACAGCACAAGGGGTTAATTTTTTTTTTAGTTACACCTGAAGGTGATTATGGAGCAACAAGCTGCGTGTCACATTCAGACGTTCACTGCTTTTAGATCAAAAATTAGAGCAGAACATTTCCCTGCACTGTATTTTGTTGACTCAAATATATAATATATGGATGTCAACTGAGTTTCTGTGCCCTCTTTGTACTATGCTTGATTCAGTATGTATCAGGTTCTTTCTGCTTATGGCTACATCCATAGGCTGACAGGAAGTGACGCCATTGTGACAGGCTGTCAACCACGGGAAAGCTTGTCAAACAAGCTCATGTACAAACTCAGAAAACACTATGTTATCTACATCTGGAAATATCCAGGGGAAGCAGAGTTTTGGAAAGCGAGCACATACAAGTCAGAGTAGGGACGACACTAACTTAAGCATTGAAGACTAAACTTTTTCAGGACCTTTGCTTCTGCAATTTGACTGGATAGCTTCACTTTTCTCAAACAGCTTACTGTCAGTGATGGAAGCTGGGGTGCCAGCAGTCCCAGCCCCCAAATCCATCCGGACAAGGGACAAATGTCTGCTCATCCCCGGTGTCTGATGAAAGGAGGGAAAATATTTTGAGGATGCTCCGAATTGCTTTAGAGACACTGGGAGGAAGGAAGTGTGTGTATGAAATCTGTTTTTGCGTTTGTGTGTGCATACAAGGTGGAGGAAGGGGAGAGGAAGGTTGCCGGTTGAGCAATGTGATTTCTGCTCGACTGTCACAAATCTAGCGCAACAGGAAAATCAATTTGGCCCTGTGTGTGCCTTTTTGGCTCCGGGAGAGAATCCAAATAGCAAGGCGAGGCTCGGATAATGTTACAGTGTATTGGATTTGCTTCATGGAGAGACAGAAAAAGAGAGAGAGAGAGAGAGAGAGAAAGAGAGGGAGAGACGAGGAAGGAAAAAGAGAAGAATTGCGGAGACGAGGGAATCACAGACATGCCGTGGAGCATTGACAAGATAGATTTGTGAAGTGCATGGGTGTATGATAGGCTGGCAATCTGTCAGTCTCCCACATGCACACACACACACACACACACACACACACACACACACACACGGACAAACACATTCAAACACATTCAAACACACAAATAGACTGTGTCACTCATCCCAGCGAGCGAGTGCATAGTTGTGATTTCGATGTGTGACCATGCATACATGTATCCCTAAAATGAAAATAACTCTTCATAAGTATTTGTTACGATGAGCTGTTTTGAATGCTTTACCTGTCTGCTGGGTTATTTTTGTTTGTTTGTTTGTGTGTGTGTGTGTGTGTGTGTGTGTGTGTGTGTGTGTGTGTGTGTGTGTGTGTGTGCGCACATGTGTGTTTGACAGCTAGGTGAAAGGATGACATGATGAAATTGCTCTCCTCTGACCGCTGTCAAGGGTAACGTGTGTCCCGGGAGTGCTCAGCCGTATGACATGTCGCATCACTCCACTGAGTGAGGCTGACCGGTGACAGACACACATAGAAACACGCACACGCACACACTGACACACACTGACACACACTGACACACACTCACGAGATATTAAAGAATTCTCCTCTGCAAAGCTTGGGATGACATTTGCCAGTACTCCTTTGCTACTTAAGCACTTTGGCATAATAACACTTAACGTGAGAAAAAAAACCCATACACTTTTCAACACACATAATATAGATAAATATTTACAGCTCGTGTATAGAAGAGTTTATTAATCCCCAGCAGGGAAACTCATTTACCACCTGGTCAATTCATACACACAACAAACAATATCATCACAACAGACAACAAGTAACTAAAAAACAAACACCATTGAAAACCAATTGAGACATCATTTACAGCCATGAATCAGAGTTAGTGTCTGACTGCTGCTGGAACAAAGGAGCTTCTAAGTCGTTCAGGAAAACACGTCTCTAGTCTCTCACTGAGGGAGCTTCTGAGTCGATTAAAAAACCGTGTGCAAAGGATTGCCTTCAAAGATCAGAATCGTACAGAAGAGTTTATCAGGAGGAAGAAGAAAAAAAAAAACCTACCTAACAACATCTATGTAACAAAGTTTAAGTCATCTAGTGGCTGAATCTGTTAAAGAAGAGCCGGCAATACTAATTTCCCCACCGACAGTTGCATTAATGGACCAGAATGCAATGTAGTCACAAGACAAACTTTGTTTTGACTTTTTCTTGACTGGAGCTCAAACTACTTAAGTCGAAAACTTACATTTTTTTCACACTAATTAAAAAGCTTATTAAAGGTAGTCTTACTTTATTCATTTATTTATTTTCATTTAGAGGACGGCTTTGTTCAAACAACTACTTTGTATAATGAAGAACATGTTTGTTTTTAAATGAAGTTACAGAAAACAACAAGCACACACAGACAGACACACACACACACACACACTCAAAGACATAAATACACGGCATGGCTTGCTATCTCTCTTTCTCGCCTCACTAACTTGTTCCAAAGTCAAACGACAACATTAACCAAAGTGTCCTAACTTGTGATGAAGTGTTGGAAAGTGGAGCGTTAGTAATCAGATGTGTGCTAACCACATTAGTTCTCCTGTGTCTCTCCTAGGTTGGCTGCTCCTTGATCTAATTCAAACTGATTGTAGTACAGCCGCTAAAACATGCCAGATGTTACTCACTGCTCCACGCTTTATCACCATTTATTTGGCACAGGGAATATTTTAAAAATATTTTCTTATTAATCATGTCCCAGCAATCGGTTTCGCTTCTCGTCTTTGCCGCCTCATTCCGGATTCTCGTCAGGATTCTTGGCACGAGCGGCTGAAAAAAAAAAAACCAAAAAAAAAAAACCCACTGTCCCAGTTTTTCATTAGCGTCAATCAACCCAGTAAGCGGCTGCGTGGAGAGAAGGAGGAGGAGGAAGAGCAGGCATCAGGATCTCACTCAAGACATTTTGCCCCGCCTCGTCAGAGTGACTGACAGGCCTGAGACACGATGATGCTCCGGTCAGCCTTGCAGCCGGGCGGAGAGGTGGCGGTGTGACAAGGAAGCCAGGCGTGGACGGCGTGCACATCAACACACTCACAAGCCTGTCTGAAGCAAATCAAACCCACACGTGTTTATAATGCTTTGTGTTTATCTAAGTGGTTATGTGCTCTGCTTAGCCTCTGGAGACAGACAGACACACCATGAATTATCTGATAATCCTGTCCTCGTCTTGTTTGGGCTGCCATTTGTAAGATAAGGATACAAACCAAATGGGAAGATCTGCACCGCCAGTCCACCTCAATTCATTAAGACTGAGAATGGAGTGGAAATATTGTCTGCCACATAAATGTTAGAAATACTTGCAATTGACAGGTAGCAGGGAGGCGGCCTTTATTCAAATTCCTCTCGAATGTAGCAAAGTGTTTCTACAACATCTTGATCAAAGACTTAACAAATCCCTCCTATGCAAGGACAAAAACTGTGTGAAGAAAATGAACGAGACATATTCCATGAAGTGCTCTGCGCTCAGTTGCAATATTCTTCAGCAGTCGGAATTAAGATTTCAAATAGGCCTGAGATATCAAAGTCTAGACGTGCTGGATAGATATGATTTGGTCCTCTGTTGCAGAGTGCACTCGGCTTCATCCTCTGTCCATACTGGCACAATGGAAATTGATCTGAAAGGTATTATACTGTGAGTTGGAGATGAGAAAAGAGGAGTTAGTATAAAACCACGGGTTTATGTGAACTTCTTGAAAAAGAGGTCAAACCCTGCTCGCCTAAAAAGCACATTTTTAATTTGAATATTTTCATTATATTTGAGGTGATTCTATGAAATAAAGGTACTGATTTGTTTGACTGTTTGGCTTTAGGTAGCTGTGGTGCAAACAAAAAAAAACAAAAAAAACTTAAACCTAACAATCCAGTCTTGTATTGCAAAACATTGAAATGCTATTTGTGGAAACGTGTATACTTAGTCTGCATCAGGGTCAGTTATCTACATGACCTTTTTAAAATCCTCTTTAAATGCACATATTTAAAAACAAATGAAATCAGGCTGAGGTCTTTAAATTGGAATAAAAATGGAAAGGTCAGGCAGAAATGGAGCTCTGATGACTGTGGTATGTCTACACCTGCAACAAGTTTACAGATGAAACTACTTTAAAAATGATGAAAGTTTAATTATAAAAGCATATCTTAAATGAACCACATGGGACAGGAGACTGACACATCGGGTAACACCCACAATCAGTGATGTCACAGCAGATATTTCTCATCATCTATCAAAGAGAATCAACCTCCTTTGACATCACAGGCTGGGGTATGTTGCCTTTTGTTTCCAGGCATGAAGCAATTTCCCTTCAAGCTATAAAGCAATTTACAAATTTCTCAGGGACTCTTACACGGTGCTACATGATGTAAAATGCAGTGAAGTACCTGGTGAGTGTCTTGTTTGTGGTGATTAAACTAACACATTTATTGTGCAGTTAAGTTGCACCTTTCATCAAGATAAAACCAGATGATCAAGATGCATGTGCACAGGTGCATATGTCTCTGACGGCATCCTTACCTGGTGCCGTGTTGTTGACAGAGGGTCCGCTGGCAGGAGAGATGGGTCCTGAGCCTGATCGTGACTGCTGGGACTGAGTGGAGCCTGCAGGCGAGCCCACAGGGGAGGGAGAGGGCCCGCTCCTCTGGCCGGGGAGGTGGGGGGAAGCGTGGGGAGAGAAGGGGGACTGTCCCTGGTTGGCAACCCCCCCCTGCTCCCCTTGGCTACTGCTGCTGCTGGAGGAGCCGCCGGCACTAACAGCTGAGCCCAGACCGGCTTCCGTCCCAGTGGGGAGGTCATCAATCGAGCCGGACAGATCCTGGAACAGTAGAAAGGACTTCCAGTGAGTATTTATGATGCTCACCCAGGCATCTGATTAGAAGTGACATGCAGCAGGAGGCAAATGAAAACATGAGCTCAAGCAGAGAAACAATCTTCCTGGTAAATATGATGTCATAATAAAATATCTCAATTGCAACAATTTCAGCATAGCTGAAATGTGACCGTGTGGATAAAAGCCTTTATTGTTCACATATAAAAACCTCTTGAAAATTAAGAAGGGAATCACAAAGATGCACCATATTTCTGATGCTTTCATAAGACACTGCAGGTTGACTCAAATGTGTAGCAAAGGGGTTTGACTTCTCTGTAACTTACTGTAATCACTGGAATAGAGTCTCAGGAGTCATAGTGACTGTGTTTAATATGATAGAGGAGCAGAAACATTACTCACTGAAAGCTACTACTGTACAGTGGCTGCTGTGGTGAAAATGAATTGTAATGGGCTTTCATTCAGACCAAGGGTGAGCTCATATTACAGCTCTCGTTCCCTGTGGTGCGCAATGAACTTTGTGTGCATGTGTGTGAGTGTATGTGTGAGCGTGTACTTAGTAGGTACTCCCCATCCTGAATTGATTCTGTGGAATCCCCACCAAGACTGCACACAGATTACTGACTGTATAAAAAAAGTGTTGTGTGAAGGAAAGTAAGAGGTAAGGAGAAATACATATTAGATGTGATCTGATGCAATGTGTAGGCTGCCCCTTAAAAGGCACTACACATTTGGACACACACAGGCATACACACACTTTGGATTGTGGCCCCAGCTGTAGCTGAATATGGGGGAAGTCACCTGAATGTGACCCTGGCTTTCTTGCTGGGTGCTTGCTGGAGGGGGGAGTGGAGGAGTTGTGGGTGTATGGCAGCTGATCCTACCTGCTAACCCAGGCCTCTGACCCACCACTGCTGTCCCACCTGAGTCCTGTGCTACTATTACTGTCACCACATAGTGATGTGTCTGTCTGTGTGCAACCAGGAGCTTATATGGAGTCTTGATAAAGAAAATGTTTATACATGATTTCACAGAGATTGGTTTGCAATTTTGTTTACCATGCCTGCTTGTCTATCATGCTGATTTAGACTGTGAAAGCAGCACTGACCCTTCCGCCTGAAAGATTGTATTTCTACAGGAAACACAGTAAAATATGAGACCAGCGACCAAAAGTGTGGTCAACTACATCAAGTACTTTATCGATTATGAAAAAGAATGTACAAGAATGAACAGAAGTTCATGCATGAGTCAATGAAAGAACAATGATAAATGATATCTAAGGCTTTTCAATCTTGAGTTACATGTTCCTGTCTTCTTCACAAGTAAGTCGGCTGTTAAAGGAGCGGGGAAAAAGACTCACCAATCACAGCAACGGAGACAGTCTGCTCTGTTGATTTTTAACTGTTGTTATAGTGATTAACTTAACAAATGATGGTGGCAAATTTGTGAAATCCCATGTATGATTTGTTGCTCATACATACATAGTAGTGCATAAGTTCTTTCTCCTAACTCAATAATTGATTATTGACAATTGACATTTGCCATTTATAATCAAATAATTCTAATATGTAATGCCATAAAGGAGAAAGGTACTTTTTCAAAGGGCTGTATACATATTAAAATGATGTTTATCATATGACAATACTTGGGCTTTGACTGAATTCACACGTGTGAATATGATGTTTTTCGCCGATTCTTTTTTAACTTCCAACTTGACTTTGGAGAAGACAGCAATAACCCAGTAATCAAGATGATGAAGAAGTGACGTTGTGTATCGATTAACATGTAGTGTTTGAGTTTTAAGTCAGACATGAGACTATATGTATGGTTGCCTCATGAAGTCATATTAATGAAAAAATCTTGGATAATTCATGATTATTTATGTATCCTTACCAAAAAAAGATTCATCCTAACATACTGGAAAACTAAATCCCAACACTAGAAACATTTACAAAACCTGGCATGTCTTGAATGCATTGACTGTGACATCAAAATGGCTTTAGGTTTGAATTGATGCAGCTCTGTCAGAAAATCAATTCATTGTCAACAGTGCAAACTGTCTTTTCTGTTTTCCTGAACACCATGTTTGTTTCATATAAAAAGTGAGACAGGCGTCCCCCTTCTATCTCTATCCATGCATAGCTGAGCTTGTGGAGCAGACAACCGCGTCAGAGTGGCAGTCGGTCCATGGCTGCTTGTTTTGGTTAATGCGATCTCGGCGGTGACACACAAAGCCTTTGTTTTCCATCATGCTGCTGTGAGTGCCCACCCGCTCTGCCAGCCTGCCAGTCTGTCGCCTGGCATTATCTTCCCTCGCTCCGCTGAGCACATGGGACCAAAGCTTTCCTCCTTTTCTTCCTTTTTTCTCTTCCTCACCCGTGGTACCACTCCCTGTCTCAGCCAATCGAGTCACCCAGTGTTCTGAGCTGAGTGATGTAATGTGCTGCCTCCACCAATAGGCCTGATTGTTATTTTCAACTGGCTGGCTGCCCAAGGTGCATGCCATTTGAAACGAAGAGTTACTTTTGGAGGCAAGGTAACCATGACAATGACTTTTCCAAAACACTGAGAGCTAGCCTGTAGTACAGCTAGGTTGTTAACCCACAGGCTAATTGTGTGAATAGATTGGAATAATTGCATTTCACCTAATTGGGTGCTGTTGCCAGCTTTTCCAATGGCAGTTAAGGGGTGCTAAAATGTAAGTAATTTGTTTAGTGGCAGTTAGGATCTGGATTATACACACACTTGAGCATAGCTGTGTGGCCCAAGACCAAAAAAAGTAGCAGCACTTTCTTACATTAAAGGGTGGGAAAGCTTAACACCCACAGAGTATAAATATGTCAAACGTAAATACCAATTACAGCCAAAATCCTAAATTATGTTTGCTATAATACTACTTAAAAAAGGGTCATTTTATAGTTTAATTCATTTGTCAACAAACCCACCCTTCCTCCACCTGTACACTCAACTCTTTTCAAGGACCAGAGATTATTGTGTTACCTGGATAACTGTCTACAATGTAATCATGTGTAAAGAATCACAGCCAGCTAACCAGCCAGGCAGGCATGTGGTTGGAGGATCCAAACGCCCAACAATCTGGGGCCCCAATCCAAAGTGGCCCAAATCCAATTTGTTTGGCTCGTGGCTGCAAATTGCTCTGTGCATTGAGTCTCCAAATAGCTGTCAACCACTCCCGCTTGGCGTCCTGTATCGCTTAATTCGCTCCTAGAGCATGTAATTGTCATAATAAGAAAAATATTGAGGTGATAATAACCAGTTACTTTGAGATACCCCCCGCCTACCTCAAGACACATAAACACATACTGTCGCATAAGCACACATAATGGGCCACGACTGCCATCTACACATTTCACACAACATTGGAGAGGTAGTCGCTCGTGACCCTTCACCTCGCTGGTGTTGGCGTCTGCCTGCTCCCTCTCGTCTCGAGTCTGTTTGTGTGTGTGTGTGTGTGTGTGTGTGTGTGTGTGTGTGTACATATTTGTGTGTGACAGGCACACAGGATGCTGGGCTGTCACAATGAGACATGCTTGAGCACTGATGCGGCCGAGGGGACAGATGAAGCAACACACACACACTAACCCATCCCACCCCATCCATCTCTCACTCATTCTACTGACCTGCTCTCGCTCTCACAAAGCCACACACACACACGCACACGCACACACACACACACACACACACACACACACACAAGGTATGCGGCATCAGTGTGAAGCAGGAAGCTGTCACATCCAGCAGGCTGTGGGACTTTTTCCCCTGACCATGGTGCTGATGTTGTCTCCTCTCACCACACACCGGGAATTAATCAAAGTTGCTATGGTAGAAGGCATCCTAAACATGTGAAAGAGTGTGTGTGTGTGTGTCTGTGTGTTTGTGTACGTGTGTGTGAGTATGAGAAAGTGAGTGTGTGTGTGTGTGTGTGTGTGAAAGTGGTTCTCTGTCTAGACAGGGAGGAGCCAATGACTGCAGCTTCCTGTGGGCTACAGGAAAGGAAAGCGACTGGAAAAAAGTAGCTACTTCTATCTCTAGCTTCCTTTCTCCCTCTCCCTCTCCTTCTCTCTCTCTCTCTCTCTCTCTCTCTCTCTCTCTCTCTCTCTCTCTTGCTCCCACACTCCGACTCACACACACAGACTCTCACATCCGCATCTATTTTTCTGTCGCTTCCGTCTGCCCATGTAAGAGCGACAGTAATGCTTGGGGCTATAGACCAGATGGCTGGCCAGCTAAGTAGAGCCTGAAATACAAACTTAAACACAGTGGCTGAGCATTGTGAGCGCTAACACTTAACAACAAGCACCCGTGTTGCAAGAAACTGCATTGGAACCAAAAGACAGTAATGATTCACAATGAGATGTGAAGGCTTCATTATTTGAACATAATTTGCAAATGTAAAGGTAGCTTCAAAGATGAATCAAACATTTTCCCTAAATTGATGTTTACAATGACAGAACTGAATATCACTTACAGATATATCAATATAAGATGTTACCTCATAGATGGATCTTTTTACTAGTACGGAGTGTCTCTTTCTATTCAGTCATTCTTTATGTATACAATGCTGAGATTTCTGCCTTAATGCAGGTGAATGGAATTTGTTGGTGGTGCCAACAACATTAAAAAGGATAGTAATATTTAAAAACTCATCAGCAACATCTTTCAAAACATCATCCCTGCAAATATAGATTATTACAGAAAAACTGTCTGTACAGTATCAGGATGTTTCTTGACTACAGTATGCATGTTGATGTTTAATTGTTGAAACATCGTTTTTTCAGTGCCATGATGACATTTTCGTAGAAGAAAAAAAATAGATTTTGAGATTGCTAATTTGACAATAATCATCTTTAAATTGTAATGTTTGAGGAATAAACCCAATCCAACCATGACCTCTACTTTCTTCTCCTAGTCGTTAGATCCACTCTGTCTTTGATGAAGTCATGATTTTAGCCTCTACCCACCTGCTG